CCTCAACCTTACCATACCAGGTTTGTTGACCTCTAGCCTCAAACCCAACCATACCGGGTTTGTTGGAACATGGCCTCAACCCAACCATCCAGGTTTGTTGGCACGTGGCCTCAACCTTACCATATCGGGTTTGTTGACTTACAGCATAAAGCAGTACAGTCTCAACCCAACCACACTATGTTGACATATGAAACAGATAAACATATAACCAATAAACAGATAAGCAGACAGATCTATAGATCACTACCGCATATCAACATCCTAAATACCAGGATACATATCTAACAAATTATTACAACATAGCAACATCCTATATACCAGGATACATAACCTAGTGGGCAGACATTGGTGCCTTCGACCCACGAGTACAGTGAGGAAAACTCACTTCGCAGTCCGAACAATTTGCTGAATTCAACTTTACTCGTCACCTATACATCAAATAGTGACCAATATCAAAGACAACTCAAAATACCCAAAATACCCTTAGGTCAAACTTGGTCAAATCCTGGTCAAAGTCGGAAAAATTCAAAAGTCAAACTTGGTCAACACAGCTGAGTACGCCCATCGTACTCAGCTTGTACGCCCAACATATACGAGTGTTGATCCATTTACGGGCTGGTTGACTTAGTATGTCCGACGTACCTGGGTTACGCCCAACGTACGCTGCCTACACTCAATCCTTCCATTAAGAGCTTATTCCTTAAGCTCTTTTGCTCAAATTCCAGATCCAACCCTAAACTAACGTCCTTAACCATAAAATTTCCAACTTTATGGTCTTGCATGGCTAATAAGTGCCCAACAACAAAAACCCTTACCACTTAACCCATTAAGACCTTGTAACTCATTAAAGGAAGGAAACTAACAATCAAGATTACATTTTTATGCTTCTAAATGCTCCAAAACATCTGAAAGGACATCATGAATGGATCTAGAGCATGCCATACTCAAGAACAATATTGATTGGGGACAAAAGCACATAATAACACCACATAAGGTAGATTTAACCAAATGAGCATCAAGGTATGAACTTTATACCTTCCAGAGATGTATGAGGGTGCAAAGCTTCCAGATCCAAGGCTGTTCCAAGCTTCTAAGTTGTTTTCTCTTCCTTCCTCTTCCTCTATGAACACCAAAACACTCGCAAATGGCTCAAGAATGCTCAAAAATGAATTAGGGTTTTGAAGGGTCGAAGTTGGGGCTGGAGGCTGATGAATAGAGGATGCCTTGGGACTTAAGGATGCTTAAATATGGTCCAAACCCTAAAAATTAGGGTTTGCACGATGACCACGTACGCCTAACGTACCAAATGTACGCCCAACGTACTCTGCAAAACCCATGTACGCCCAACATACATGCATGTACGCCTAACGTACACACCCCACTTCTAAAAATTACGAAAATGCCACTAAGGGCCAAAATCCAATCAATTCTCATACTAAAGGGGTTAAAATGTAGATACTTGAAAATCGAGATACCACAATTATACCTTTATGTTTTCTTTTTCTAGAATATTAACATATTTAATAACTTTAAGGACCATTTTGCAAACAATTTGAAAAAGCCCTAAAACAAATAACAACCTGATAGATCAACCATTTCAGCCTCACAATTGCTCTATATATCTCTTACTCCTATCAACTGCAACACTTGCAAATTCGTCGCTGGCTACCGATTATGCTACCGAGTGAAATAGAACCAAATCACCCATCTATTTGTTATTGGCGACAACTCTAAGGAACATCACTAGTTACAGTAAAACCTAATTCCAATGAACTTATAATCGACAAACCCATATCCACTGGTGTATTGCCCATACCTACTCTTCCTCTCTTTATCTTATGCCATCCTTTGATTCTCCTTTCATCAATAGGAACTCACTTCAACTCCAGATGATACCTAAATTTAATAAAGTATAATGGAAAATCCTTCTTACATTTTAATGTGAAAATTATACAGTGTAACAAATCATCGCAACAACAAGATCATGAACAAGTTGATTCCATAAGGATTTTAATCAAGGAAATGTGTATTTCTAATTGATGGCATATATAGTCCTAACCGATGGTGCAAACTGTAGGGACGATGGTGGTAGGAAAGCCAATAACACCTAATAATGAGTTCATGCATGGGGAATAAGGGTGGGGTAGGGTAGGGTAGGTGGGGCCTACTTCTTTAGTAATTAAAAATATAAGATAAGAAAATGACGAAAATATAGACAATGTTGTCATTTTACATGTATATATTTAAGACAAAATTTCATAATTGGTCCCTGTGGTTTGCAAAATATCCCATTTTGAGGAATTTTAAAGAAAACGTCACGCCACTAGTCCTCGTGGTTTACAAAATTACATGAAAGGTCCTCCTGCCATTAAATCTAACTTTTCAGCCGTTAGATTTTAATGAAAAATAATATTTTACCTTTATATCAAATTTAAATATACTACAAACCTCAATGACCATTTGCGTAATTTTGTAAATATGAAAAATTGTATATATACAAATTATAAATATAAATTTTGTATATATATATATATATATATATATATATATATATATATATATATAATTTCAACAATTTAAAAGCTCTTTTATTTTTATTTTTTTATCTTTTTGACATTTTGTTTTCTATTTTTATTATCTAATTTTAGTTATATATGGGTATCTTAATGTTTTTATTTATTTTGATTCAAGAAAATAAACTTAAATTCGATAACCATGTCGAAATCGTTTTTTCTTTAATTTTTTTTATTTGTGAATTGAAACGTTAATTTTTTTTTTTTAGTTTTATGTCATTACAGTTTATATTTTTTTTACTTGGATGCTCAATTGTTAATATCGTTAGCAACTTTATGTTTGTATTTATCAATATCATTATTTCACATTTTGTTTTCTATTTTTTTATAAATTTAGTTATTTATTATTCATCTATTATTTTTATTTATTCTGATTCAAGTAATGAAAAATAGAAAAATAGAAAAACTAAAAACAAAAACTCAAACACCAAAATTGTAATATAATATAATATATTAATACATTTTACACTTTTCATTTTTTTTTTGTTTTTTTTTATAATTTTTTTTTATTATTTTTTTAATTTTTTCGTATTATTTTGTAATTTTTTTTTTCCTATTTTTAGTTTTTTTGTTGTTTCATTTTATTTTTCATCAATTTGATAACTTTTTTTTTGACCTTTTCCAAAAAGTGTAAAATGCATAAATATATTAGAGTATATTACAATTTGGGTGTTTGAGTTTTTTGGTTTTTTTTTTTTTTTTTATAATTTTTGTTATTTATGGTTTTTGTAGCTTTTTTATTTTAATTCAAATAAATAAAAAAGTTATATTTATATTTGTAATTTTGGTCTACTTTTTTTTCTTTATATTTTTTTTTTCTTCTTTAGTGGTTATTTTATATATGTTACGGCAAATTAAAATTAAAAAAATCAAACGATTTGTCTATTGAGAATTAATGTTTCAATGTGTGATATTTGTGATTTATAATTATTAGAATAGGAAAATTAACTAATATTTTTAAATGCAACTTGCAAATTAAATCATATTTCTATATGAAATATCAATAGTTTAAATTCAAGATAATATTTTTCAATTTGATAATAGACTGAAAATAAAGAATAGAAAAAATAATAAGAGTCTGACTCTACAAAAAAAGTTGTTACAATATTTTAAATTGAAGTTTTTTTTATTTACTTGAATCAAAATAAATAAAAATATTAGGAAAACTATGAATAACTAAAATTATATATATATATATATATATATATATATATATATATATATATATATATATATATATATGTACAAAATTACACAAATGGTCCTTGGGGTTTGTGGTATATTGTAAATTTGGTACAAGGGTAAAATTATATTTTTCATTAAAATCTAACAGCTGGAAAGTTAGATTTAACAGCAGGAGGACCTTTCATGTAATTTTGCAAACAAGAAGGACTAGTTGCGTGACGTTTTCAATGAAAATTTTCAAAGTGAGATATTTTGTAAAATCATAAGGACAAATTATAAAATTTTGTCTATATTTAATACAGAGTTATTGATAGTAACTAACTAAAGGAACAACCTTGATGGACTTTGCAACCATAAAAACCACTCACATCAAAATTTTAAAACTTTGATCAAAACTGTAGGTGAGTGATGACTAGACCAAAATTGTAGTTCTATAATCTAAAAGTTGATTGAAGTTATACAAATAATTTGATCTTCATAATATGTATAGATGATGTTTGTATAAATCAATCACCATCAAAATACATGTCGATGACATTATTGATTTAGTTTATGGTTGAACGACATCTTTACTATGTGATTTCATAAACTACCAGATTTTCATAAAATTGTTTTGTATGCAATGTTTAGCTTTTCCAATGACTTGTTTAATTTGATTACATATTTGTGCGTTTCGTTTTTAAATATAAATTTTCTTCCAAATATATTGCATATATGTTTTATGATATTAAATGATTTTTCTATAAACATTTTTATATTATTTTATGTTTTTCGGTTAGTTTGTTATCTGGTTTATACCCAACCTAATTTTTATATTATATTTTCATTAGTTAGCTATTTTATTGAATTTCGATTAAATTTTTTAAAATTGCATAATAGAATTTCGATTAAAAGATTTTAAATTGCAAAATAAAAAACCATATTATGAAACAAAATATGAAACTGAAAAATAAAAATTATATAGTTAAGCTATTTCATAATTTATAAATGACCCCATATAAATTTGTGATATTCTATGTTATATATAAAAGAGTACCAATTTGTTAAAATGTTTATTTCTACTTTTATCTTTTTTATATTTATATGTATAAAGTAGTGGGTCCCTTTTATTTTGGGAGTAAGTGTGGGGAAAAACGGCTGATGTGTGTTGATAGAAAATGATGTTGTCATAGCTGCGTGTTTTCCAATACCACGCATGCTGTTTTCCATTTCCGAAACTACCCTTCGTTGCCTCTTTTATTACATTCATTGCCACTATGTTAATCATCATCCTTTGAAACTCCTCTTCCCCTCTCCTCTCTACACCCCTTTCCACCCTTCTCCTAAGCCCTCTCCGCTTCTCCCTTCTAAACCAGATTACGATTCTCCGGCATGGCGACAGACCCGCCGGAGGGCTACGGAGATGACTTCCTTGAACAAATTCTCGCGATTCCTTCTTACAACATCGCCGGATGCTTGCCTGGTAATACTACCGATGCTAATGCTTCTGAAACGGTGTCTGTTCATCGTCAACAACAACAGCAGCAACCGGTGTTTCCGTTAGGTTTGAGCCTTGATAATGGCCGTGAAACAATCGGAGCGTTTGCAGGGCAGCAGCAGCAGCAGCAGAGGGTAAGTTTTGTTACCCTAAATAAGTTATTGAATCACGTTTGCTTCGAGATAACTATTGATTTTAGGTTTCTCGGTTTACCTATTGAATTTGATATAGTAAGAGCAGCATTTTGGAGTTGTAAAACCACCAAACGGGGTGATTGTGAGTTGTTGAGGAATTGGAGGGTTGTTTTGCAAATAATTTGTTTTTCTTGATATGCAGGAGAGAGGAGGGAGCATGAACATGACTGGATTGTTTCCTTCATTTGAAAATTTACAGTCACATTCTCTGCTTCATTCTGTTCCTCAGGTTCCTTATACTTATTTTGTGTAACTTGCTTAGTTTTTTGCTTAAATTTTGAATACATTATACAATAAAATTTGTTCTCTGAATATGTGTGTGTGTATGTTTTGGATTCTTGAGATATAGTCTTGCTACTTTTTACTTGACAAATTCTGATTATTCATGTATATGATTATTCTTAAGAACATGACATTTTCAGCCATGGGTGTTCCATTCTACTTACATTTCATCATCTTACAACATTTACAATGTACAATCAATGTCTTAATAAGAAAAACTGAAAGTACTAATAGAAAGAAAACACAAGTATGTTGCTATTTGTTGCATTTATCGTGACTTTTACGTTTTTACCCTCACAGGCTTTTCAAGGGCAATCAACTACCAGTACAGCTGTCACTGTTCCCCATCCACCTTCTATTCGCCCTAGGGTGCGGGCCCGCAGAGGACAAGCTACAGATCCTCATAGCATAGCTGAGCGTGTAAGATATATATATCACCTCATAATTCATAGGCAACATAAATTATAAATTTATTTACTTTTTAAAGAAAAATTGCATCCAATAGCAACAAATATAACCTCATTCTACCATAATAGGTAACATGCTTTAGTTTTTATTCATAATAGCAACCAACTTACATATATTTGCAATAGGGGAGATTGTAACATGAAACCTAGAAGAATGATGACGTGGCACCATTGTTGCCATATCACCTTCCACGTCATCTGTAACATTTACACATTGTCAAACATGCTGATGTGGAATTTTCTTTTGCAGCTACGCCGAGAAAGAATTGCAGAAAGAATGAGGGCTTTGCAGGAACTTGTTCCTAGCTGCAACAAGGTCAGGAAATTGTCTTTATTTTGTAAATTTATAATAATTAACATGAAAGATTAGTTTTTTTTATAAATTTTTTGATTTTCATTTCAAGTATTTCGTTTGTAGGTGAAATATATAGGTATCCCATTTGTTATAAAGATGTAAAAAAGTTGCAAACAAAAGTATCCTGTAAAGAAACCAATTTGTTAAAGATACACTTTTGAAAAAAAGGCTGTAAAAGAAGTTGTATAAAAAAATCTAAGGTTTTTTGAACATAATAAAATAAAGTTAGGGAAATTTGTAAAAACAAAGTTGTATATAAATGTTGGAGAAATTTTTATAAAAACAATTTAGACCATTACACTAATGTTCATGAGATGTTTCGAATTAAAAGGGTTATTAATATGTGATTTAAATATGTAAGTATTCCTTTTGTTTATAATTTTTGTTATGTGTGTAACTCAATCTTCTTTATATATATTTAATGCATTGAATGTGTCTTGTGTAGACCGATAAAGCTGCAATGCTAGATGAAATTCTTGATTATGTGAAGTTCTTACGGCTTCAGGTCAAGGTAATTAACACAAGCCAATATTTTTGCTCTCATTTTGTTTTTTATAATTAAAAAATCCCAATACTATTTTTAACAAGTTTCAACCTCCTTTTGAAATTAAAAGATAAAAGTAGTTTTTAAAAGGACTGAGACTGATGTCAATGGGACAAAAGTTATAATTTTTTGTCCCGCCCAAAAAGGTGGGACATAGACTTGTTCTCGATCTCTCATCTGTACAAAAGACGTAAACACCGTCCTTATCCTCATCCTCATCATCGAAAATAACCGTGAAAAGCTTGTCCAATCATGTCCCATGTAACAAACGCAGCTTTAGCTGCGTTTGTTACACATGATCATACGGGGACTAGACAAGCTGTCTAGGGCTATTTCCGATGATGAGAATGTGGAGGGCGTTTACGTCTTTTGTACAGATGAGAGATCGAGAACGAGTCAATGTCCCATGTTTTTGGGCGGGACAAAAAATTATCACTTTTGTCCCATTTACGTCAGTCTCAGTACTTAGTATTTGTAGCAGCACAAGCACAAGTACAAGTACATCCTGTTCTGTCATGTCATATCATATCTTGTCCTGTCTTCTTCTGTGTATGCATCAAATTTTAAAATTCCATTCCTTTTATGTCTTTTTGATTATTCTATAGTCGTTGTTTCTATCTTCACTGACTGACTTAGCAGGTTCTTAGCATGAGTAGGCTGGGTGGGGCTGGTGCAGTGGCACAACTCGTATCTGACGTCCCCCTTGCAATCCGTGGAGGTAACTTTCACAAACAAACATTTTATCATTAGTAGTAAAAATATGAAACATTGTTGCATAAATGTAGATTTAACCTTTTATATTATGATATTTATATATAGGGAGACACGAGTGAAAACGGATATAATCAACCGGCATGGGAAAACTGGTCAAACGATGACACAGAACGTGAAGTAGCAAAGCTTATGGAAGAAGATGTGGGGGCCGCTATGCAATTTCTCCAATCAAAAGCCTTATGCATCATGCCCATATCACTCGCTTCACTAATTTACCCGCCCCAACAACCCGACTCCAATTCCATGGTTAAGCCCGAACCGTCCGCTCCTTCTTAGACCCGTAACCCGTTTGCACGTGCCTACGAAACTCCCGTCTATATCAATATATCTATAATAGTAATAATAATGATAATTATTATTACCGTTTTACCCTTTTCGGAGCAATATGATCTTAGTTTTGGTCCCTACCCCCAAAGTCTTCGGTATCTCATCCCATCTGGATTTGTGTTAAACCAGATGGGATGTTGGGATGTTGTCCTATCTGGTTTATGTTAAACCAGATGGGATGACATTTTGTTTTGTCCCATCTGGTTTGGTGCAAAATTGGATGGGATGGTAGTTTGGTTGTCCCATCTGGGGTGGTGTTTTGTTTGAGGGAAAGTATGGAAGAAAAGTAGTTTTTTACTTTTTTTAATTTAACTTTGTAAATTGAAAGGCGAGATATGATCATTGTGTGCATTTCTTGTTTTGATTTGGGATTTTATTTAATTATGGAATTAAAATGTATTCTAAGATCTTTTGATATGGATAACTGAAAAACTTAGTTTGTTCTTTGGTATTTGTTATTGTTAGATAGAATTGGACCGGTCTTTTTGATATTTCGGTCTTTAATTCTTGTGGTATATGCTTTTTGTTCTAAATATTATTCTATGATATGATACCAGGAAAGATGTTTTTTTTAATGATCAAAATAATATATTAAAATTGTCTTTGATGGATTAGGTGAAAAGTTAGGAGTTGATATGCTAAATATATTACTTTGTAAAAACTGGCAAATGAAAGGTTACATAAAATGATATTTAGATGTACAATTAAAAAATGATGGTATGTTGTATAAAATGATATTTAGATGCACAATTAAAAACTAATGGTATGTTGTATGAAACATTTTAAACAAAACAAAGCTAATTAGTAAAGTTTTCTAATTATTTTTTGGGTTAAAACATGTTTGTTGGCTTGTTGCATTCAAATATCATATTTGTAATATTATTATTTTTTTCACTTTTCAATACATATTTATTTTTTTGCATTAATAATGATAATAAAACATATGTAAGTTAAAATACGCAATAATAACCTAATCACTTCTTATTTTGACAAAAAAAATTTCGTGCAAAATATGTTGGATGTTGTTTAGAGTCCCAAAAGTTATGACCAATTATTTGGAAGCTCTAAGAGGTCGTTTCTTTTAGGAAGGAGAGTTGAGACAAAATAAGATTTCATAGATGGAAAAAAGTGCCCCTAGCAAAGAAAAGGATTGTCTTTGTATTGGAAGAATTTTTTTTTTTTTTTAAGCATTTAATTGGGTTCTAATTTATAATCGAAGATGAAAATATTTTGCTGAACCCGATTCTTTAAGGGTAGTTGTGGTTAAGGCAAGGGGTGTGGTCAAAACATAATTTGGTCCTCTGATCATCTTTGGTCAAAAGGAATTAATATGGATCAATTCTTTAGAAAAAACGTGGTAATAGACTTTTGACGAGGGAAATTCTTTTAAGGCAAGGGGTGTGGTCAAAACATAACTTGGTCCTCTGTTTATTTTTCTTCTTTTTTTTTTGGTTGGTTTTCAAGAAATTTTTGCTCTTGAAACACAAAAATGATGCATAGTGAATGCTAGATTCGAGAATGATGCATACGTGGGATCACATCAGAGGAGTTATGTTTTGAGTTCTTCCTCATTCTAGATATCATATCATTCTCCCCATAATAAATGTATTCTTTGATCCAGACATCTTTATGTTGTTTTGTTGCTAAAAGTTTTAAAGTTTTGTTTATTATTGCTTTTGTTGCTATGTGTTCAAAAATCATCATAACCTAATAAAATTGGATTGATTTGAGTGTAACGAGACACTTTGGGAAAGATTCCCATCACTAAAATTAGTTGTCACTTTGACACATGTTATCACGTAATTTTTTTTTTAGAAAGAGACAAAATCTTAGACAAACTAAAGATTTTCATCACTAACATTAGTTGTCACTTATGTGATTTTCATCACTAACATTAGTTGTCACTTATGTGATAAATTATGTTATCACATAAGTTATTATGGTTAGAGATGAACTTTGCAAAACCATTCCATGTCTAATGTGTGATGACCACATGTTTCTTAAATTTGGACCTTAATGATTGCTTGTTGATCTTAGTAGCCGTTTGTTGATCTTAGTATTTGTTTATTGATATTTGTGATTCGGCTATCGAACCCTAGAGAAAAGGAGAGGGACCAAAACTGCATTCATTAATGGTATAATAGTCTTTTTAGTTTCGACAAAGACCAAAATTGTATGTAAACTAGCTCAAAAGGACCATCAATCCAAAAAAGTCGTGGTTTGGACTAAAACCCCAAAAAAAATGCATACCATAGGAACCATTTTTGCAATTTTGTCTATAGATTACTTTGAGAATGTTTTTGGGAGTTCGACTTTAAGATTAGATTTTTGATGTTATCCAACTTCTTTTAAAATTTTATTGTTACTATTTTGACATATACTCAGTTTAAAGGATTATTGCAGATTATTGAAGGATTAAGGATTAGATTTTGGATATTTAAAAGACCTTGAAATTTTGGATTTAATTGTATATAATTTATTCACTTTAACTATTCTTTTTGATTCATTTATTTCACCATCGTATGGCTTGACCAACTTTAAAACATCATGAATTTGACCGTTATGACCTAATTCTGCAATTTTGATCGTCTTATAAAGAATTTTGTTTTTCGAAAAAAATGGGATGTTTAATATTTAATGACAAATTCAACTAGACTATATGAAGGGTATTTCAAGCATAAACCTCACAACCTCATTCATCAAAATATGCTAGTGATGGAACATTCCAACTCCATATTTCAGATGGTGTTTTGGATCCTTTCTTTGTTGGTACAAGGTTTAGGAATTTTATAAAATTCTCTAAGGCATAACCCTATAAACTTATTGGAAATGCATCACAATTCATCATGGACCGAACAATATCTAATAATGTTTGGTTTATCCTCTCGACTACACCGTTATGTTGCAGTGTCTTAGGTGGGGTCAATTATTAAATAATCCCGCAATTCCTTATATAATTGTGAAACTCTAGACTAAGATACTCACCACCCTTATTGAATCTTAGAATCTTAATCCTTTTGTCCATTTGATTCTTAACTTTGTTTTGGTATGTCTTGAACACCTCAAAGGTTTCATACTTATGTTTAATTAAATAACCATAACCATACCAACTGAAATAATCAGTAAAGGTAATGAAGTATATTGGGCATGCCTTATGGACAATCTGAATATACCAAACACATTAGTGTGTACAAGATACAATATATCATTTTCCTGCTTTTAGATCCCTATGAATGTGGTATTTGTTATGTTTCCTAATAAGCAAGACTCGCAATCTGTTGGATTAAGGTGTCTAATGTAACGTCCCAAAAATATAGATAAAATTTTCATTTTTAAACCATCAAATCCATACAACCACTTGTTCCAAAACTAGTCCAAGTAAAATGTATCTTTTAAACATCAGGGTAAAATAATAACAATCAGTGCGGAAAAGCCATCAGGGGATGTTGTGCAGTTAAGTCGGGCCCTTCCCCTTGAAACTGGAAATACCTGAAAATGTTTAAACCACAAACCGTAAGCACAAAGCTTAGTGAGTCCCTCAAAATACCACATACCATACAACAGGCTCAGCCCAACATACAAACGTGCCCAATCCAACATACCAATGGGCCCAACCTAGCATATCAATGGGCCCAGCCTAACATACCACTAGGCCTAACCCAACATATCAATGGGTCCAACCCAACATATCAACGGGCCCAACCTAATATACAAATAATCCCAACCCAGCTTACAAATGGGCCCAACTCAGTATACAAATAAAAGAGTCACAAAGACAACTAGCATCCTACATAATATAGTGAGAAGACTCACCTCAATCCTGAAGACAAGATAAACCACACACTCGAGCCGACGATATTAATTCTTCTCTTGGTAAACATATACATAATAAAACCCTGATTAACAATTAAGGTAATAACTAACCCACGAAAGGTCTAGGCTCACAACTGTTGGGTTTTTATTCAAAATATGTTTCATAAACATAAAGATGGCAATAGAAGACTTTTATTTTAAACAAAATAAAAATAGTTTTATTCCCACCAAAAGATCATTTTGCAAGACTTAGAAAGATTAAAACAACCATAGAAAGGAAAGAAAAACAACATTTGAAGACTTTGGTTCCTTTTTGCAATTAGGATGTAACATCCCAATTTCCAAGCCCAATTTTTTTTTTAAAATTAAGTAATTCTCAACATGGTTTACCAAAACATTTCCCATGCCATATCATTTGCAAACAAAACTATAACAATGTGTCTGAAATCATAATGTCAAAGTAAAATCAATCAGAGTACAATCCCAGAAAACTCCATGTGGAAATCATGTGTGTGTGTGATGCGCTGCTACACTGCCGGCTCCTTCCCCTTAGACGAAGAGGTACCTGAAACCAAAACTAAAACTGTAAGCACAAAGCTTAGTGAGTTCCCCCATCATACCACATACCATACAGACATATCGCATTCATACTGCCGGGCAATTCTGGGGTGCCCGACCTACCCAGTACGGCCATTCTGGGGTGCCGACCTACCCGTGTCAAGCCATTATGGGGTGCTGACCTACCCATGTCAAGCCATTCTGGGGTGCGGACCTACCCTTCGGTCCAATCAACCAAACATCGGGGACTATTCCACCCCTACTACTACTATCACATATATCATAACGTAAACATACTGTCAGACGTTTCTAGGGTGTCCGACCTACCCTTCGGTCCTAACAACCGAACTTGGGGACTATTGTCACACCCCGAAACCGATGGCGGAAACGTTCCGGGGCGGATGTGACGTCATGTAGAGTATCACAAGCAATGTATATAGCAAGCAAAGTAAACACAACCATTACATTACATAAGAAAGTTTTACATTTGTTTGAAAATAAAGTACTACAAGTTTTCTTAGATACATAGGTTAGAACAAAAGTAAAGACGAGTCTTCTATATGCTCCGTCTTCTTCAAAAGGTTAGCAGGAGTACCTGTCTATGGATGCCCTGAGAATACAAGCAGTTTTAAAATATCAGCATAAAGCTGGTGAGTTCATAAGCGGTTTGTTTTCTGGAAAAAAGATTCAGTTTCCTTTTGTTTCATGAACAGTTGATATCCAAGAAAATCCCGTATTTTCTTATAAAAGTATTTTGGTTATCCCTTTGTTACACAATTTGAATTAAGAAAATCCTGCAAATTTCCTTATGAAAATATGATTTGATTTCTCGTTCGATGTACCATACAACCTTGTTTATGAAAAGTTTCGTTATCCCAAGAAAACCCTATGTTTTCTTATGTTGAGCTTTCATTGGTTATCGATTCTGAAATGATGTGTACAAGTACCTACCATACTTGTATCGTTTGAGTGAAACACACTGAATGACTGGTATCCCGTAGTAAGCGTATTAGTTTTGACACGTACACAAAACTAATAAGTAAGTAGTGAACTAGTAGT